AACGTAATCCACTGCGTCTTCAGCGGCTCAGATGTCGGGAGTAAATGACGACTGCTATGTTCATTACTACATCCAAGAACAAAACACCTCAATCGCTTAGGAGTCATTCTTTTCTACATCTGCTCCGGCGGTGAAACAATGGCGGACTAATGACAGCTCTCTCAGGGTGGGTCTAAGGTAAGATGCCAGTCCAGTCTGTGCTGAAACACTACTCTCAATCAAACTATCATGGGAGGGGCCTGAGACATCTGAGACCGGCTCGATTTAAGAAAGGGGTAAATATTTTAGTAGATAAAAAAAAAACCACTGGGTGGATTTTTGTCATTATAGGGTGGTTGTGTACACACACACTGCCAACACACATTACAGTTCAAACAACTTGTAAAAGTGCATGTAGCATCCTATGACCCCTTTAAGATTTATGAAATTCACCAAAAAATAAAAGAAGAGGACAAAAATGAATAAGGAGCAGTGTTAATGAAATGCCGAATTAGCAATTCATTTCGAAAGCAGAAAGCTGAAGTGAATCTTTTAACTTGATTTAGTTGACCTTTAGTTGAGTAATACTGCTTGCTGCTTCCTCCCCTTTCCCTTAAACTAATGTAATTCTGAAATATATCATTATAGGGTGGTTGTGTACACACACTGCCAACACACATTTCAGTTCAAACAACTTGTAAAAGTGCATGTAGCATATGATGACCCCTTTAAGTAAATATGTTTCATGTGGTTATGCTTAATATGGTTATTATGATTTAGCATGGTAAATGTTTGGAAGAGTAAACTTTTAGAATTTTGTTAAAAAATGATCATAATGTGAGTCTAAAGTTGACAATTTAATCTAATTGTCTTAAATGAGTGACAGATTTTGATGCATTCGGAAGACGTTTTTGCATGTCTGCCGTGAAGGCTTTTTGATTTGCCATTTGGCTCACATTTGATACCATGACAGCAATCTCATTGAATTCTGGCACTTTTGCAGAGCACATGAGCCTCATAACTTGTCAGAAAAAGGCTTTGACTGACGTTTCTTGACTCCAGAGGTTTTTGAAATGTCAAGCTACCTAAAGATGTGTGCTGGAAAACAGCAGCGCAGATACGCGATGCTTGTCTTCAGCTCTGAGCTCAGATAGCCTGTTGGCCCTATGAGATACTGAAAAAACGTTTTGTCCGGGATCAGCGCTGTGCATGCCTCCCCTCAGATACGTGACCTCTGCCAACCCGAGGCAGATTTGACCTTGACCCTAATGTCAAGCAGAGCATATGTGACAGGGCTTGTTTCCCGCCGTTCCTGCTTCTGTGCCAGCCAGACTTCTGAGTGCAGAGGGCCAGCTGGCAGGAGACTTTAACACTTTCAGCCACCCAGAATCACCTGAATCCAATAGACCCCCCGATATCATCTACCATCTGTCACATACACACATAAACACACATATATCTGTTATCCCAGCAGCCTTTTTCTCTTTTGCCTTTTTTTTTATTTAGTCTCTTTTATAATCCGACTTTACAGCCGTTACATTTGTCAATTACTGAGACCTATTTTTACTCTATCCAACACCACCTCTCCCTGTTTTTCTCCACAAAACCTCATTATTTTGAAATATTGATTGTCTTGCTTTTTTCTTTTGGGTTGCAATATCAAATACCCCCCCCCGTCTCTCTCTCTCGCTCTCTCCACCCTTCTCTGTGCTGGCATTATAATGACTGAGCATCCAAGCTGCTCACACATGTTGTAGGATCAGTCTTTATACTGGGTGACTCATTAAATATAGGCCCAAACTTACTCTGTTGAAGTACAATAACTCGCATACTTCTAGCTGCATAAGCATAAGTTTGTGTATTGTTGAGATTCAAAATCTGTCGATGCAATTCATAACACAAGTACCCATTGCATTTCTCATCATTGCCACAGGGGGCGCTATATTGTGTGTCAGTGTGAACTGTTATTGCCTTCAGTTAGTTCCCGCTTTCAGGTCAGCTGCTGGAGAATCTTGCACTTAAAATCTTGCACTTAGAATGTAAATGTAGTTTTTTAAATTTAGTAATGTCGCTGCTTTTGTGTTTTTGGCTTTTTCTCCAAGTCAAGTCAAGTCACCTTTATTTATATAGCGCTTTTAACAATACAGATTGTGTCAAAGCAACTGTACAGCATTAATAAGGAAAATATTGTGTCAATAATGCAAAATGATAATAGTAAACACTCAATTTTCAGTTAAAGGCAGTTCATTGAATTCAGCGATGTCATCATCCAGCTCAGTTCAGTTGAAATAATATCTGTATAATCAAGTCGACGATATCGCTGGAAATGAAGTGTCCCCAACTAAGCAAGCCAGAGGCGACAGCGGCAAGGAACCAAAACTCCATCGGTGACAGAATGGAGAAAAAACCTTGGGAGAAAACCAGGCTCAGTCGGGGGGCCAGTTCTTCTCTGACCAGACGAAACCAGCAGTTCAGTTCCAGGCTGCAACAATGTCACATTGTGCAGAGGACTCAACTGGTTCCTGTGGTCTTGTCCCAGTGGCCACCATCAAAAAGATTGTTTGACACGTGCTGAGGTTACAAAACCAGCATTTTATTTGTAGAGAAGTATCGTGCGAACCAGTTTCATTCCCGAAGAACGGCCTGAGTTTGTTGGGCCAAATAGATATTTGAGCACCTTTGTTCAGCTTCCTTTTGCTTTTATTGTGTCTGGTAAACAAATCAATAGGGAAGAGCTGTGGTATAGAAACTGTGGTCCATATAAATGGAGACAGGAGAACAAATCAGCAAATTATGCCAACAAGTTTGCATTAATGAAAACAGCCCATCAGTTCCCAAAAAGTAAACTAAATTTCTAGAGCTTTTTATCTGCTGTGAAGATATTTTGAAACATGAAGGATGTCTGATATTGAATTTCTCCACAAACCTGAGATGTTCGTGCCTTGAAGATTTTGATCAACTGTATATTAACATCTTTAATATTCCCTCAGGTGGCACAGACATCATTTCATGCTTCATGGGTCAGAACATGACGGTGCCTGTTTACAGAGGGGAAATTCAGGCCCGAAATCTGGGCATGGCCGTGGAGTCCTGGAACTGTGAAGGTGAGAGATAGCTCATGTTTATCTCTGATTTTATGGTCAAGACAATGGAGGTTGTCTTTTATTTCATTCTACTGTTTTTAATACAAAATTAATAGTTTTGGATCTGAAATCTGGTTTGATTAGATTCACATATGAAGTAGTTAAAATGTATATATATCGTCAAAGTTTGTGCGAAAATAGTAATCAGCATGACGTTTTCAACATTGGAAATAATATGAAATGTTTCTCTAAATCAGAATATTGGAATAATTTCTGAAAGATCATGTGACACTGAAGACTGAATGGCTGCTGAAAACCTAGCTTTGCCATCACAGGAATAAATTACATTTTAAAATGTATATTTAAATAGAAAAGTTCTTTTAAATTAGTAGTAGTAATATTTCACATTATTAATGTTTCACAAAAACATTAAAAAAAAATCACACTAACCCCAAGCTTTTGATTGGTAGTGTAGATTTATTATATAAATAATATATATTATTTAAAGCCTATATGTTAACAATATCACCTACACTAATGCGGAGAACCTAATTTACCTGGCAGAATAATGATGAATTAACAAATGTAACAAAGTTGTTGTTTTTTTTGCTTCAATTTAACTATTTATTGCTTCAATAAACCTGTTGTGTTTGGTGTGTATTTCAGGTAAGCCTGTTTGGGGCGAGAGCGGGGAGCTGGTGTGCTTGAAGCCCATCCCGTGCCAGCCCACTCATTTCTGGAACGACGAGAACAGCAGCAAATACCACAAAGCCTACTTTTCTACCTTCCCAGGTAACCCTTCACATGACATCACCCTAGATCTCTTTGTCTCACTCTAGACAGGCAGCATTTAAGGCATTATAGGCATCATTCCAAAATGCATTGCTTCAGACTCATTGCCTATACTCACATTTGCCTATAGAGGCTCACAGATGTACTGTGCTTCCTTCCTTCAAAGCTCTTATACTGTGAAGTGCTCACAGTGAAGTGTGTTTTCTGTCCGATTTAGAAAGCAAACGATTCCTCCCTTTGATTTGGAAAACAAACATGCCGCTTCAGTGTGTTCAGAAGAGGCTGCAGCTTTTCCGCCGTATTGATTAAATGATTTCTGAGGGTGAAAAGGAAAAAAAAGAACCTGCCAGCTTTTGTTAGCACAAGAAAAATCTCCTAGAAGCCTCACTGCTGTCAGTTTGGAGAAGTAGGAAAAGGCCAATCGGGACAGTTCAGCCTTAATTAGCGTCCTCTGCTTCTTTCTATAACTATTTGTCCAATCCATATATCTGTGTGTATCTCCTCATTCAGGACTCTGGGCCCACGGTGATTACTGTAAGATAAATCCAAAAACGGGAGGAGTCGTCATGCTGGGGAGAAGGTAAGTCTCGCTTTTTGTTCTGCTTTGTTTGATCATCTTCTCTAGTTTATGCTTAGATGCTTATAATCTTGCTGTTATTGTATGATGATACTGTGAGATTAGTATTGGTATAAAGCAGTATTTGTTCTGTCTGTATTTTCAGTGACGGAACCTTGAATCCTAATGGTGTTCGGTTTGGGAGCTCAGAAATTTCGTACCGGTGCCTTCATTACATCCTGGCACACTGCCCTAGATATGCTTGCTCAATTTTGAGAGCAAAGGTAAATGATTTCTTAGACACATAATTTTTAGGTGTTCAGCAAGGCTCTGTCATGTGCGTGTTTTTCATGTAAATAGGCCACCCACTTACAGAAGTAGTCTAGCAATTGACCTTTTTCTGTTTAGCAAAATACAGTTACACAAGCACACATGAAACAGACATGAAATGTAAAACAATATATATATATATATATATATATATATATATATATATATACTGAAAAGTTTTATGTCAGTAAGTTTTTGTTTTTTAAATGCTCACTAAGGCTGCATTTATTTGATCCAAAATACAGTAAAATAGAAATATTGTGAAATGTTACAATTTTAAAATCTTAAATTCTAATTAAATACGTACCCACTGTATATATATATATATATATATATATATACTGAAAAGTTTTATGTCAGTAAGTTTTTGTTTTTTAAATGCTCACTAAGGCTGCATTTATTTGATCCAAAATACAGTAAAATAGAAATATTGTGAAATGTTACAATTTTAAAATCTTAAATTCGAATTAAATATATTTTAAAATAATATACACCAGTCTTGAGTATCACATGATGCTTCAGAAATCATTCTAAAGTGCTGATTTTGGTGCTCAAGAAATGGTTTGAAAACTGGTTAATATTTTTTGTGGAAACTATGATTGATATCGGTCAATATCAGCTGCTTATCAGCTGATTTAAAAAATGTAATTGTGTATGTTTATTCCACCTATTTTTATGTTTAGATTACCTTTGCTGTCATTTAAAGCTCACTTAAAGTTAGTATTTAAAAACATTATAGTTTAATAACACCATGAAGTGTAATCTCATCTTTTGAAAAACTAAAAGAAACAAAAATGTATAATGTTCCATACTGTACGTTTTTTTTTTTTAAGGTCATGCCATCAATTTTATTTTTAGTGACTTAATTTAAACAAAAATTGTATAGAATTGTATCTAAATAATTACAAATGCCGATAATTATTTAGAATGTGCTAACATAATAGCAAGACAGCATTTAAGACCGTTGTTTTGCCCTCTCTTTAACCAGTGGAAGCCTTTGAGGAAGTTTCCGACAGCCTTTGTGTCCCTCAGTACAACAGTGATGGAGAGGAGAGGGTGATTCTGTTCCTGAAGATGGGACCCAATAAGAGCTTCAGTCAAGAGCTAGTGGGGAAGATCTGCGGCGCTATCAGAGTAGCTCTCTCTGCACGACACGTACCAGCCTTGATACTGGAGACCAAAGACATCCCGGTGAGCTCAATTTGCACGTTCGTTCTTTATGTAGCAATTCCTTCACTTGCTTTATTTTCTGTACTTTTCCACCTGATTGACTTTTCATTTCCTCTGCCTGCAGTACACTATCAGCGGAAAGAAGGTCGAAGTCGCAGTAAAGCAGGTGATCGCAGGTAAGGACGTCACTCAGCGAGGGGCCTTCTCAAACCCAGACTCCTTGGACCTCTACAAGAACCTACCTGAACTCCAGAACTTCTGAGCGCTTGTGTGAGGTACATCTGAACTCTGGAAAGTCCTGTGATTCTGGATGCCTTCGAAGGGTTCAGATTCTCTGGACACCTGTTGGAGCTTTGGACCATCTGGAGGAATTTCTAGAGCTTTCAAACATCAAAGTTCTTAGTTTTCGCTGCCTGTTGTGGCACACTCAGCTACCTTTTGGAACTGATGGAGTCTGCACATGTAGCACTTCCTCAAAAGTGTAACTGGTTCCTCTTGGATCTCAAAGGATCTTATCTGCTTCTGTTATTGCGTCCACCAAGCGTAATATTTCCAAGAGACATACTGAACTCCCAAGTAATTCACAAATTATTTCTTTATCTACCATGTCAGTCCCATATCCTCCCTCTCATTTTTTGATACAATGTCACTTTAATCTTAATGAAGGTGTAGGAAAATCTGTCCGTGAATCTTTTGAAGCTCTAAAATGACACTTTATTCTCATAAATCTTCAGGAATCAAATACACAGATTTGTTGCTGAACATTGTGGATTTAAGATTATATTTCTTGTGGTAAAGTTGGGAGCCATTTCTCTAGTAATATTGATTTTTTTTGGGTCAAACCAACTGCTAACATTTACGAAGCAAAGTATTACTGGTACAGTTTCCGGATTACGACCTGTTGCCGTAATAAAATCAATGCAACTTGTGTCAAATTTTCCCCTAAAGCCTGACTTCCTGTCTGGAAACATGAATATATTTATATTTTTAACAATATCCTATGAGTAAATGGCGATTCATCACATCTGCTGTATTTGTAGGGTATATTATAGTGTCCAGAACTACTCTCTGTTGTCTAGTGAGTGTGGATTTGAACTGAAGCTGATGTAGCTCACTGGCCAAAAAGATTTCCATATATTTTTACATATATACTGTATATATTTGATTCCGTATATGCAGCTGCATGTTGCGTGCTACACTAGCTTCCCCTCTTTCTCTGTCTCTTTCGGTGCGCCTTATATCAAGTTTTCATCAACAACTGAAGCTCATCTTATTTCTTTGAGCCATTCTTTGGTATACAGCTTTATTTTTGCAGTCCCCAAATACACTGGCTTACTTTTTTCATATTTCCCATCATCAGAACACTGCACACATATGAAAAAAGCTGCTTTGTTTGTTTGTTGTTTAAGGTTTTGAAAGTCAGCAAGACGGTTTCAGTGACATGATGTCCAGATTACATTAGATTATATAATGTTTGCATTAGGAGTAAAGGGAAGAATACTGGGCAGTCAAAATGTATCTAAAACCACAACGAAAACTAGAAAATATTGATTTATGTTGGATCAGATTCAAGCTCTTTGACATGTACTGATGATGCATTTACACTCGCTTTGCAGCATATCACAGAAACATTTATCATCAGCAAGCCACCATCCAGAAAATGTTTTTTTGTGACACTGAGAGAGGATATGCTGTAGCTGCTCGCATCAAAAGCTTGAAAATGTGCTGCGTTTTAATCATTTTAAAATAATTTTGCGCTAGTAATGTTATTTCAGCAGTTGTTTACAACAGAGAAGCCTCACAGGCTAGTATTGATGTACATTTCAAGTTTTAATGGGTCATATTTTTGGGATAAGTTTGGGTTTTGTGCATGGGTCTGTTTGGTTCAGGTAATGTAATCTGGGTTTGTTACACGTTGGAAAATGAATTTTTAACCTGTGAGTAAATCCATTTGACCTCAGTGAGGACTCCTTACTTGGTTTCTTAAAAGAAACTACACACTACAGATCTGAAAAAAACGTTTTTTTTTTTTATATACAACATAAAGGTTAGGCATAATGAAACTCAAAAGGGTGGACTGGCCCTTTAAAAGGCTCATTTCTTTCAAATGGAAATGGTTCAGAATAGAGGTGCAGATGGCAAGCAGTTGTGCAGATCGCCTGAATTAAATCAGTCCTTATTTCCGCTTCAGACAAGCAGGGACGGGTCTGTTTCACCTCATGGCCACCCTTGTGCCACCATATGCCCCATATCTGCTCAGTTTTGCTGACAGGACTTGCCTGGTCTGGGACTGTGGACATAAGGAAAGCTACCAAATCCTTATTTATTGATAGTCACTGTGGATTTCGCTGTAACCTATGCCTTGTTGCAAACATATTTGTCCCCCAACATTTATTAAATTTTTCCACATTTAGCAATTTCATGAACATTCCATGGAGATCTATTCCATTTTATTACCCTTTTTTTCTGCTTCTTTTTGATACATGGAAATACTGGAAATAATTGTCCTTATTATTGTATTACATTAAATGCATTTGGTGTACTACTAGTAAATAAAAGGTGCTTTCTTCTTGGTGGCTAATTTAGTATTCCTGCTTTGAAATAACATTTATTGTACATCGCAGAATGTGAATAATGATTACTAATATAGTTGAGAATATATTTGTTATGAATATATTATGCCCATATGCTGTATATCATTGGACCGCTTCAGTTATGTCCACTAGGAGCATACATGTATTTCATGTATAAAGATGCTTATTGTACTCCTAATTAAAGAACTAAAAAATAATTCTGGCCTGCCGTGATTTTTTTTATCCTGCATGAATTTGCAGTATTATTTTAATGCTATGTTTAATTATTTGGATATCAAGCAGGACGATTAATCAGCTGATATTGGGCCATTTTGAGAGGTAACATACATCCATCCATCCATCCATCCAGTGTAAATATTTAAATAAAATATTAAGATTTTAAATATGAATCATAATATTAAAATATATTTAAATGTTTATATAAAATATACATATTAAGTGATTGATAATATTATTGTGGATAATATTGATTAATAATGTATTTTGTTAAGATGATGAAAATACTCATATGCAAAATTAAATTACAACAAAGTTATTACAACTTCATGAAGGCACAAACAAAAACAAAAGCGTCATTTACCAGCCTAACTGGTGGAACATGTGGAAGTTTTTTCAGATATGCAGACCTCAACAAAAGATATCCGGAGCTTTCTTTTTCAAAGTTTACAATCCTATTTGTTTTTCTATCTGAACTATGTTTTGGTGCTTTTTATTATTAGCATTTAGCATTGTTTGTTCCCTGCCGTCCCTGTCCTTATTAGATCAGACCCCTAAGAATCCATTTAAAAACCCATATCGGTCCACCCCTAAGCATATTGAATTATGAAACATGAATTTGATGAAATTTATATAGAATAAGCATTTACATGTAATGGAAAATCGTATTCTGATAGCCTTCTGGAAGCAAGGTTTATTGATGTTCATTTGGACATAGAGTAAAATTAAAAGTAAATTTTTTGACGGCCAGTCACGGCAGGATCCCAGAACTCCTCTCGAAAATAAAAGGTGCAGTGAGATGCTGTGGCCAGCTCATTTTAAACCAGATTCATCTCACTCTCCACCCTGATGTTTTCAATGTGATGATCAAAATGAAATCCTATCTGTGAGAGAGAGAAAGAAAGAGAGACAGCCTGAACTTAAACGAAAGGTTTCAAAGATCAGGCAACACCATCCCCATATGAATGCTGTCATTTACAGTAAGAAAAGACGAGACAAATTTGTGCGGGTTCAATTTTGAGGCTCATTGAAGAAGGAAGGAAGAGGAGAGGGCCAGAGGATCAGGTGCACGAGTGCGTGTGAAGTATTGTCACCCGTCTTCCTAGAGATGATTGAAATGTTCAGGCTTGTCTGTCAGCAAATTGCCTCTGCTCAACATGTAATCGGTCGACCGGCCACTCGCAGAGAGCGTTTTACATCTAAGTGTGAGTGCATGTTTAAATGGAAGGGTAGGGGGTATTCATTTTGAAGTGGATGGAAAAAGGAGCCGGGGTCTGACAGAAACATGAACACAGAGGGGAGCGGCGAGATGAAGGACGTCACAGCATATTGGAAAAACCTTGTGATGTAGACACTGATTAAAAGCGCAATACAGAATATGTGCATACATATGAGCTCTGCTACAAAACTCGGTGAACTTTCTACTGCCACCTTAAAAGGGAGCATACTAACCATCATGGAACTTCATAATTGACCGATTTGAAATGCTCTACATCAGAATGCTCAAAGTAAATAGCTCTCTGCATGAGAGATTCAACTCAGTTTTACATTTTTATGTATGTGTGTGTGTATGTATATATATATATATATATATATATATATACATTATGTATTTATCTATATATAGATACAGTATACACACATTTAATATATAGATCTATTACAATAATATTTTAATTAATAAAAATTATTATTACAGTAAATAATATAGATAATAGATCATGTATTGTAGAAATTATAATTGTAGAAATGTTGTATATACTGAATTTTGTATTGCTATTTAGGCACGTTCAAGTTTCTGTCCTTGTTTATACATACTAGGTAAAATAACTAAAGTAACTCTAGCATCATTTATTTGATTGATATTGGTGAGTATTTTTCATCAATATTTTATCTAATGGAGCAAAATGAATTTCAATGCTAAACTGGCATATTCCAAAAGTTGTGTCATGTATACATTTCTGTTGAAAAGTTTGGGGTCAGTAGGATTTTTTAAAATGATTTTTAATAGATTTTTTTAATACTCACCAAGGATTCATTAAATTGATTAAAGTGACAAATGATCAAAGTAAAGACATTTATGTTTTAAGATATCTATTTTAAATAAATGCTGTCCATTTTAACATTTTATTCACCAAAGAATTCAAAAAAAAAAAAAAGTCACAGTTTCCACAAAAATATTAAGCAGCACAATTGTTTTCAACACTGCTAAAAATAAATGTTTCTTATATATTCAACACATATTAGATACTGTGACGCTAAAAACTGGAGTAATGTCTGCTAAAAATTCAGCTTTGCCAAAATAGGAATTTATTACATTTTAACATGTTAAAAGTTATTTTAAATTGTAATAATTAAATAAATGCATTGTTAAGCACAGGAGACTTCTTTCAAACACTTTAAAAATAAAATAAATAAAATGAATGAATGAATCTTTCTAACCCCAAACTTTTGAACAGTATAATATAATATGTTATGGTTTTTGTATTGCTCTGGTTACATGTGATTACATGTGCGCTCTGATCTGTATTCTTTCCGTGAGTTTGTTGATGTATGTTGATGACATGCATGTGCTGCAAACATCAAGCATTGGTTGTCAGGTCATCCGTGGGCAGGTGGTGTAGTTCACATGTGTATGAGAGAAACAGATGAAAGTGGAGTTCCCGCTGGTGATGTAGTTGTGTCGAATAAAGAGCAGCCGAGTACATTTTCCACTCCATTACTTTCACTGTACAAAAGCCTGTAGCTGCTGCCGAGAGAACAGCCCCAAACCAGCATACACACACACACACACACACACTTACACAGACATGCAGCATTCAAAATTACACATGCAGAATCCTTATCACACATGCACATGCATGCATATATTGAGATGATGTCGAAACATATGGCAAATTTAAAATAAAAGTCATTTTAAAAGCCACATCATCGCCACATCAAGGGCCACTCAAAAGTACCTTTTAAAATGCAATGGTAGCCATAATAGTCTTTTCAAAAACCCACTGAGAGCTGCCCGACATGCTTCATATTTCACTCTCCCTCTCACCTGGTCTTTGGTCAGTAGTTTACTTAAGAGCGCTCATGGAATGGGTCAAAAAGCAGGAAAGGAAAAGAGTTCACACAAAAGTGAGAGGTCACAGCCACCGAATCCTGCAGAAGCACTGGAGAAATGTGATTAAAAGTGTGCCTTAGCTGTTGCCGTTGTTGTTGTATTTATACAATTCTACTGTATTTTGCTTTGCATCGTTGAGAGCATTTTAAAGGAAAAGGAAAAGGAAAATTTGCTAAAAATGTACTCACCCTCAGGCCATCCAAGATGTAGACGTGTTTGTTTCTTCATCGGAACAGATTTAGAGAAATGTAACATTACATCACAAGAGAAAACTGTCCAAAAGTGTTCTAAACAAATATGTAGGTTGGTTTTGGTTTGAGAGGAGAACAGGGGATGGACTTTTTCACCAGAGGAAGTGTTGTTATGGATCATGGACTATTTTGGCCAGAAGTGATGGTTTAAAGTTAAAACACCTTAATGATGGATTTGTTTTCTACAAACATGCAGCTTTTCACTTACTTGTGGATTATTGTAATGTTTTTCTCAGCTGTTTGGACATTCTGACATTGGTGAGCAAATGCCAGATTACTTTAAATCTGTTTCGATGAAGAAACAAACACATCTACATCTTGGAAGGCTTAAGGGTGAGTACATTTTCACTGTTGAGTAAATCATTCATTTAATAATCTTGTTAACGAGTTATATAAATAAATAATGGCTTAAAATTACCATGTTAACAATTGGGGGAAAACTGTACTAACAATTCAAGTTCACTAAGACCACAAATGTGTATTAATAAAGTGAATTTTGATTTCATGTTGAATAAAAATGGTCAAATCACTTACTGTTAGTAACCATATATTTGGTTTCAGCAGTTTTACCGTTTTCTACATTAAGTCTTTGCCTTTCAGCGTCTGATTAATGTTATCTATGTATTCACTCAGTTTGGTGGAAAAGCTCAAATAAATTAAGTCACTGTGTGCTGGTGGAGTTGGGAAATCATTCCTAAATCCGCTTTGCATTGGTGATGTTGCTGGCAGCAGTGTAATCCTCTCTGACAGACCCAGTTGTGGTCGAGCCAAAGCTGCTGAGGCCACAAACCTACAGATATTACCATACATATATATATGAAACTACCCGTGAGCATGGAATGTACACAAACACAAACCTCATCCTCCTGCTAACCTACACTTTCCCAGACAAACGGACACATATATTGATTTTCTAACTTAGGCTATAACTAAAATAACATTTATGCATTTGGGAAACACTTTTATCCAAAGCAAATTAGATTGCATTTATGGTAGGATATACATTTTATCAGTATGCATTCCTTGGGAACTGAACCTATACCCTTGGTGTTGCTAGTGTCATACTTTATGGTTTGAGCTACAGAATATGTTATATTGGTACATGTTATATATGTTATATTGGAGGGCATGGTGATGGGAAAAAAATTGATATTTCAATGCTTTTCTATTCCCCTAAAAAACTTTGCTATAGCTAACAAAACTTTTTGTGTTCCCCAAAGAAACTTTGTGATCGCTCATAAAACTTTTGCGTTCCCCAAGAAACTTCACGTTCACACATAAAATTTTTGTGTTCCCTGAGAAACTTTGCATTCACTCATAACACTTTTGCATTGCCCCAAAAAACTTTTAAATAGAATTTGTCCTCCCATTTTTCCATCACTCTCTCCAGGACTCCTTATTCATTCATAAGAGTGAATGAGTAAATGAATGCGTAGAAATAATATATACATTATTGGTATTAAAATATTGATTAAAGTTTTACTAAGTAAAAGAAGCACTATGTACAATCGGCCTGCAACAATAAACGTGAAAAAAACGGTCAAATCACTGGCAGCTACGGCTGCCAAACAAAAACCGTAAAATTAAAGTCAAACCAAATCTTAATTGAAGTAAAGTGCAAAAACAAT